AAGACAACATCAAACTGAATTTAAAAACAAAGAAAAATATTCGTTAAGAGAATCGAAAAGAATAAAATTAATAAGAGGTGAAATTATTTTTGTTATCCCCACCTATGTATTAAACAACAAATGAAAGATTTGAACATCAATATAATTTCAATGGTCTTTTTTGTCATTCTCTTTGATATCCTAAAGGAAGAAGTTCTGAAAATGGTAATGTATGCCATTTTAAACTACAACTAAAATGTACATAAATCTTTCAACTTTATCATCAATCAAATTCACAACTATTATCTGTTATTTAATGTCGTACACGAAAGCGATAAAAATTTAGGAAGGACGATAGGTTATTATAAAAACCAACCTTTTTTTCATTGATTGAATATCCGATACGGTTTTATCGACATTCTCTTGTTAGTGACATGTAACAAAAAGCTCGAAAAAGTCTCAAAGATGGTCATGAGCAGATCCATGAGTAGTCATAAAAGAAATACCAAGTATTCAGAAAATTCTCTATTAACGGGTGGGCCGAAAGTTTTGAGACAAAATGTTTGTCCATTTTTCATCACATCAGAAGTATTGTAGAAGGATGCAAAAAGGTGGACAAGAATTAGAATTTAATGCTCTTTCCGAATATGAGTTCAGAAATTTTGTGCCTATTTTTGTTTGGAAGCAATGAGGAAATCATTGAATTGCTTTGAAAGTTAGTTTGGACAAAAATATGTTTTGTACATTTTTGTATTTTTTACTGTTCTAATTCGAAACTTAATGTTGTAACTTTGGTTCATATATCATATTGTAGAGCAAATTCTGCCCTACAAAATGCGCTATTTCAGTTTCTTTTTATTTTCTTACAAATCATCTAAATTTTCGTTTCCTTATTACCCTCATTTTTGAAAAATCGATTTTTTAACCAAAATCCATCTCATGTAAAAATAGCTTCTCAGAAAATGTCTATAATTTTACTTGTATAAAAGCTATATTGGAGTTCGACATCTCATTTTGTGGAGGACTGTCTGCTCTACAAAATTACCATACTCAACCGTTTTTAGCATCCTCGCATAGGACTCACAGAAGAAAAAATGCCGATGTGTTCATTAACCAATCCAATTTTTGGGCATATTCAAAGATTGTCTCACTACTCTCGTACAAAATCAAATACAAATTTTTTGAGCCCATATTCAGAAAGAGCACAAAATTCCGATCATAACCTGTACTTTTCATTCGTCTACAATAGTTTTAGGTAGGGCAAAAATAAAGAGAATATTGTCCAGATGATTCGACTCAACCATTTTGTCCAGACTATTTTTTTATGCCTTTCAAAGATTTTCTTGCTTCTCCCTTACAGAAATAGATATAGAATTTCTGAACTCATATTCTGAAAGAGCATTAAATTCTGATCCTTACCCACCTTTTCGCATTCATCTAGAATACTTTTGAGGTGGTGAAAAGTGGACAAACATTTTGTCTCAAAACTTTCGGCCCACCCGTTATGTCAGAGCTTGGAAAATTATTTTATTAATAATTTTAGTAAAAAGCCATATTTTGAATTTTTTCTTGGTAATCGTGGTGTTATGGTCAATTGTTGTATATAGTATTATTTTATTGATTACTTATTGTGGTTACGTATTCTAACAGTTCAGTCATCAAACTATAAGAAGCGACGGATTTCAGAATAGTTTTGTCAGTGAAATTAATGACCATTCATCGATGACCCCCTAGTCTAAGAAAAGGAATTCTGCATAAAAAAATCGATTAGTATAATTAAATATGACTATATCATAGAGTGATGGGAGATAGTCAAATTTGTAGAAGGGAATCTTCGCTCAAAAAACTTGATAGTTCGTTTTTCAGACATGATCAAATAGTTTGCATAAACCTTCACGAAACATGATGAACGGCATTCATCACTAAAACAAGAGATATCATAGGAGAAGTTGTGAAACGATGAAGTCGGTCTTTCTTTGATACTGAGTTTCTTATATTCCTAGCAGCCAGTTCAAATGTCACAAGTGGATTGCTGTTCGAATTCGACCGTTAGAGATTCATTTTATTTGCATGTGGCTGACACAAAGCGTTATATAATCGATCTTCTTTAGTGTTATGCCATGGAGTGTTTATATGTAAACTTCGTCAACGTTTGTCAGCTCTTTTAATTCTACTTAAATATCGAATGACATTTAGGAGTATGGCAAAATATTATTCTTTCCCTTTTTCTTTTAGATGACATTGTTTGCTTGTGCTTACCATATGAGGACACTCATAGTAGAACTCCTTCACTATTGAATCGTGGAAGCAGAAGTTCACTTAGAATTATAGATCATCCGATAGGTTTTTCAAAACTATACATAATCATACTACTGCGTTAAGGTTACTTTATTTTTGGTCAGAATAATCAAGCTTCCTGTCAAAAGCAAGAGTATACTTAGACATTGCATAAAAAGCTGAGTTGATCTATATTTGTCACAATATCCTCCGACAACTTGTTTTGGTTCAAGAATTCACTCTTAGTGCTTTCAAGATAATGTCCAAAAATAAAGTCAGGGTTACGTGTTCTTGGAAAAAATACATTCTATCAAGTAAATTTAGTTTTTATTGTAAAAACAATTTTAGTTGGTTTATCTTTTAGATTAGACAGAACTGTCTATTGCCATCAATATGGTATTGATCAGAAGTTCTTGAAACACCTTTATTTCATTTTCAATTCGATATTTGACCGTTTGATGCTTCTGTTTGGGACACTATATCCTATGATCAAACACTTTATTAACAAGTTATATGACTTTATTCGTTAAAAATTTATTTATTTTTTAATGGCGATTAGGAACTTCAAACAATCAAAGATGTGACGTTTGATTCAATATCTCAAAAACTACTGCAAGTTTTATGTAATGGCGATTGTTTGGAAAAGCGTTCGAATTATCCAAAAGCTATTTATGATTTCATGCTCAAACTTAAGGAATATGAGTAACAAGTTATGGTCTTCATTATTTTCTTTTTATTGTTTTCTGTCTATTAAAATCTTTTGGCATTGGACGTAAACGACTGACATTTATTTGGGTAAAATAATATCTTAATAAATTTGTCTTTTCTCAAGATCAATAAATAGATCAACATGATCTTTTCTAATATTAAACATAATAAAGAATGAGTATTTTGAATCATTCGTAATTCAAAACAAGAAAAATTGGATAAAGTTAGACAGTATTGGATTGCGTTCTTTTCTATAACAAAGAATCAAGTAATGGAAACCTGATAATTAAGGAAGTAATTAAAAACATGAGAGGAGAACATGTTTTCTAATCAACATTTGAGGTTTCGGAAAAAGATGATTGGACTTCTTAAACAGAGCATTCATGGTTTGATTTGTAAAATAACAAGCATTTCTCTACTTTATAAAGGTTAATCATAGAAGTAATCGAAGATAATTAATCGATTAAAACTTTTAAGTCGGAATGAAGTATAAATGTATTTATCGAAATCAAGAACACAGGTTCTTCTTCAATGATTTCTAAAATTTTTATCTTAGTCACCTATTCAATTGACTTGTCAAAAAAATTAGTCTAAGGCTTGGGTCTGCTATGATAAGTTGAATAAATGATGTCATTCAGTTGATGATAAGACTATCTGCATGATTGCTCTCAATTAATTTTTAATGTTTGAGCGATATAGAAACAAAAATTCATCAATACTCGAATGATTTACAATGCTTGCAGATTACATTGAGTAAATGTTATTGACAGCACATATCAGTTTCGAAAACATGTAAACTATTTTCCCAATTTGAAAAGGAATGGAATGTTTTCGACATTTTATAGAAGGGAAGACATAATCTAGAACTTGATTTTCGCTGATCAAAACAGTACGTACGTTGTGTCAACTTGCTCACATCTATGGATGACTTCTTATTCGTATCTAATTAAAGTCTTCTAGTATCTACTCAGAACTGGTTTCATTTTTTCCCCATAGCTGAGTAGTAGTACACTATATTATTACAATAGTTGTCAGTTATAGAAATTTTTATAGATCAATATGTGAATGATTATGACGTTTTATTTCAAAATGCAGAACTTTCAACTAGTTTCGATCGTAGAACATGAAGTTTACGCGTTCAAAAGAGAAGAATTGCAAGTGAAATCTATTCGTGTTGTGTTAGTTATAGGTTCACTAATAATATTTTTTTCGTTTGGATTGTTGCACAAGTATTTATTTAGAAATCAGACTACCAATAACTTCTTTGCGTAGTTACTTACCATCATAAGTACTCTTTACTTGCGATAAGAAAGGAAATTCAATTGTTTTAGTCGATGGAGGGCGGAAACGGGAGATTACTTCACATCACTAAATGAGTTCATAATGATTTTTTATATAGGAAGAAATCATTAGTCGTATGTTATTTTTTGAGAAACGCACAGGTTTCTGTTGTTGAAATCAATGATATTTGGTTTAGTGTAAACACAATGTATTATCGATTTTCACGTTGACCGAGTCATCGTGAAATTTGATTTCTATCTATATGCACAGATAAAAAGTATCTGTCTGTAGAGTTAATATCTACAAGCTTAGTATCACTTTGGAGACCTTAAGTTCGAAAATATTCGACGTAGAATCAGGATATTTACGAGTTGCTTATGAGATTGACCATAGTTATCGTTCACTTTTGGATCTGATTCGATTAGAAAACCCCAAATCATCACTGAGACAAACTTCTATCTCGCCAGAAACTCCTATTCAATCGAATAACAGGTACAAAAGACTTCAAAACTCTGATACGCATTGCTCAAAATGTAATACCATGAAAAAGTGAACATTGTGGGAATATCCTATGCATAAATGATTTGGATCTCATGATATAGTGATAATTTGAATGTGCATGCAGCGATGAGTATATTTCTTAGTTCTCTGTGTGTCACATATAGGAATTTGCATCAATATTCATTTTTTCCAACACAGATTAATTTTCCATCTTAAGATGAACAACAATTTTCTCAAAATCTTAATTACAAATATCATTTCTTTTGTTTTAATAAAATAAGAGCATGGACAAGTGTTGTTAATCGTGCTCCAATAAATTTCGGAAATGTTACACTTCTTCCAATGTAAGCAATTTCATCAAAAAAATAAACAAAACTGAAAAAATTCTAATTGATGAATTCGACACACAAAACCAATCATACAACGTACACTATAAACATCAAAATACATCACTCATCTAACAAAAGTGCCGTTAGACCACACTCCCTCTTCGATTTTGCCATTAGCATACTTCACTTTGCCTCTGCCATCTATTTTGTTGTCTCTAAATTCTCCCAGTAAATGTTCTTTTGTTTCAAAAAAAGAATACCACATCAGCGTGAGACAAAAAGGAACAGACTGACGAGTAATTTTTGAATATCTCAACTCGTAACGATCACCATTAGCCCAAATATAGACACCTTGACCTGTTCTTACGTCATTCACCCAATCGCCTGTATACTTGCTGCCGGGAAAATTAGAATTCGGTCCCCAAACAAATGTACCTTTCCCATGTTTTTTGTCATCTTTGTATTGTCCCAATAACTATTCTTTTATTGCATAACAATGATACTAACTGAAGATGAAGCAAATAAGCATACACCGATGAGTGATTTGTGAATACCTCAACTCATAGCGATTACCATTAGACATAATGTAAACTCCTTGACCTGTCATTACATTATCTACCCAATCACCTGTGTACTTGTCGCTAGCCCCATTAGCATCTGGTCCCCAAATGAATGTACCTTTGCCATGTTTTTTGCCATCTTTGTATTGTCCCTCGTAACAATCACCGCTAGGTGAAACGTAGACACCTTGACCTGTTCTTACATCATCTACCCAATTACCTGTGTACTTGTCGCCAGCCCAATCAGTATTTGGTCCCCAAATAAGGGTACCTTTGCCATGTTTTTTGCCATCTTTATATTGTCCCAATAACTATTCTTTTATTGCATAACAAGGATACTAACTGAAGATGAAGCAAATAAGCATACACCGATGAGTGATTTGTGAATACCTCAACTCATAGCGATTACCATTAGACCAAATGTAAACACCTTGACCTGTCATTACATTATCTACCCAATCACCTGTGTACTTGTCGCTAGCCCCATTAGCATCTGGTCCCCAAATGAATGTACCTTTGCCATGTTTTTTGCCATCTTTGTATTGTCCCTCGTAACGATTGCCGTTAGACCTAATGTAAACACCATGACCTGTTATTACGTCATTGACCCAGTCGCCTATGTACTTGTCACCATTGGCATAATCCATTTTTCCTTTACCATGCCTTTTACCCTCTTTCAATTCTCCTTCACCATTATTCTGTAACTGCGTGTTATTTGGGTACCTAACTCTGCAACAGTAAATAAGCCTGTATAATATATGAATTGCTGTTTCATATCTGTTTCCAGATTTATCAGTAACGACTTGAATATATGAAGACAGAACAGGTTTTGTTGAAGGGATAGATTCAGTTTTTAAAGATGTCACTCCCATAGCCTGGAAGTTGCTTGTGAGTTGGTCTTCGTTTTCATCAATAACTTCTTGTAAATGGACTATATGCATAGGTGGTTGATCAAGAGGATCACTGACAACACGAAGACGAGTGCCTGGACAAAGAATTACTTCACTCTCACTTGGAAAATTGGTGTATCCTGAAATATCTTTTGCACTCACAGCTTCGATCAAGAATAAAGTTGAATTAGATCCGAGAAAATCTTTAATGGTATTAACTGAAGTTGAACATGAACTAATGGTCCACCAAGTGAACTCATCTCCTTTTTTGAAGTTCTTCGCTATATCTTTTGCAACACCACGCCATAGATTCTTTCGAACAGTAGGTAATTTTTGTACAGCTGTATCAAATAGCTTAAGGTAAGCAAACCATGGCTTTAATGATGATCGATCTTCAGCACGCAGTGCACGATTAACTACTTGGTATAAACTATCCTCACCCCATTCCATTGTATAGAGAAACACAGCAGCTGATTCATCTCGAGTAAGGTCATGTTCAGAAGGAAAGTGACATTCATTTTTAGCTATTTTACTAAAACGATCCAGTTGCTTGATCTGAGCCGAAACTGGTTCGAGAGCTTTCTGTAGAGGTAAGAGTTGATGCGCTAAGTATCCATATACTGGTGTAAGTCGTTTTGGAGTTGATTCTATATCAGTAAAGCGATGCATATTTCAAATGCAGATCACTAATTTTGTACAGTTGCTTTAAGAAAGAAAATGCAATAGTTGAAACACGTGCTTTTTATGTTGTTGATTACTAGAAAGCTTCGAAAATGAAATTGTTGTCACTTATAACTCGGTTTTTATACGTCCGCTCTTTTGATTCTGTGAAGAAAAAAGAAAAGCTTTTTGTGATGTATGTTGTAGTATGTTTGCACACTTAGTTGACAGCATAGTTCTTCACAAGCGAGTTTTTTTTTATCAGAGCAGCAAGAGAAAGAAAAGGATTATGTTGGAAAGACTTTTTTTCTTCATCATACTGAGTGACGATGCAGTTAGTGAATGAAACATGGTTTTTTTTTACATATAAATAACACATATTCCTGAAACATGTCTTATCGAATATACATGGCTCAAGCATTTTTTTATTTAAAAAGTATTTGATTCAATTGATACATAGAATAGAAATTAGTAACACGTACCAGTTTTACAATTGCAAGTAGTAGATCCGTTGTTAATGTTAAACTATTAGAAGAGTATACTTTTCGTTACCTCTTCATAGTGTTGCACTTGCACAAAAAATTAACTCTCATAAAATACTCTCAATTAAATAGGGATATCTATAACAGTGCTTTGAATTCATTTTTATAGTTGATTTTCAATTGTGTTAATGAATGAATCAGAATATGACAAGACAAAAATAATTTGTTGTCAGATGACATTTTGTTGCAATCATCTAAATATCGAATATGATGCCTAATATATAATAACATGTTTGATATTTGACTTATAAGATGAAATCTTAGTACAAATTAAAAATTCGTTGAATTTAGTTTTTCTGTCATTGCTAGTTTTTCAAAATACTTCTGATTAGAAATGACTTTTTGATGATGTCACACGATCAGATTTATTTCTCTAAAAGAATATTTCTTCTGATTATCGGCATCCGAAGTCATTATTGAAAGTGTTCTATATTGTTCTATGAAATCTAGTTATACTACTTTAGATGCATAGATGTAAAAAAAAAAGAGATGAACGTATTGCGAAACTTTTCTATGATCTTTTAGATTCATCTGAACAATATTATTGGTCTCTTCCTTTTTTGAATTTTCTCTATTTAGTAATATTAAGCTATTTTTTATAAGAAAAAAAATCCAGACAATACAGACATTTATGTTTTTCAGAGTTCTATAAACTATTAACAATGCATGTTAAATAATAAGAACCATTTGTAATTGTATGGAATGTTACAACCACATAGTCTAAGACTAGTTTGTTAACCTTGAAAAACGATTGCATACTAATCATGTTATACTTATGCGAATCATCGCTGTAAAAACTTATTGAGAGAAATCTAACAAATAAAAAAGGACATTGAGAAGATAAGCAAAGTGTTTGAATGTAATCAACAACATTCAAGCGAAGTTGTTATAAAGAACGAAAGAACAAAAGACATATTTTCTCCAAAAAAAAAAAAAAAAACTTAAGAAAAATCCTTTGCTGCATCTATCAAAGCTCGATGGAGAAATAAAAGAGCTGCTGTATAAGGTAGATTGTAATAATGATTAGACAACATTTCAAGATAACATGATTATTTCATCGATCGACGTTCTCCTCGAAAATCAAGGAACACTGCTTTGCATAAAGTAACACATCATTCTCATTCAGGTATAAGTTGATGACTGCCGTACTACTATGCAAATGAAACAATTTTAAATATCAAGCGCCACTGAAAATCATTTTGTGACCAATAAACTTGAGATAGAATCGATGAAATGACTTGATTCACACTTTAATACTTCTTAAACTGCATATGAAAACCATGAATCGTTGAAACAATGAATCATGAAACTACTATAGAAGAACTTGCTACAAGAGATTTATTTTTCTGCTAATTCAACTCCAACTTGTGTGAAAGATGCTATACATACAATCCATTGCATTATTAAAAAACACATATTACCAGTTTTTCACTATGTTAAAACAAAATAAACTCATTGTAAGTCAAAAGCAAGTGCTAATGAATTAGAAATAGATTAACTAATTGATACAGATGCATACGTGTCAAAATATATGTGACATATAGATGTCTCTATTATTCTTATAATTGTTCTTTATTTAATTATTTCTCAGTTCTTCTGAAGAACAATTTATTTTTCAAGTAGATAATGACAAAAATTAACTTGTTAGAGTACAAGTTTTTACGACAGCTAAGTTTTTGAAAATAAGGGGACCCTTGTTCGAGATACATTTTTGAGCGAGTACTTACCGTATTTTTTTAAATTAAAAATCAACAAATTGATATTTTTTGAAACGAGTAAAAGTGACTCTGAGACTTTGTCTCAGACACCTTCCAAAAAGAATGTTAGCCCGATCGGTCAAAATAAGATGAAAATCGTAGGCAGGTCTAATGTTTTCTTCGAACAACGATCATATCATTTTCGATAATCTAGTTGTGATAAAAATTTGAGCTCCACTGTTTACACCCTCGCGGAGAGCCAGAAGTGGTTCAAAAGAAGCTATATACTCTGAAAGTAAACCCATAAGTAATATATCGTATTTTTTTGCTCTTTTTTTCATGGTCAACAGATAGCTATTAGTCACCATTCAATAACCGATAATCCTATGCTACTATCTTGTATCCTTGATCTCTCAATAACTACTATTATTTATCGATCGATTGATCAATCTCGACTTTCTATACAATATCCATTTATTGTATATTGTCGTTATACTCTGTTTTATTTCTTCGAACATCAACACTAATCCTAATTCATCCATTCTTGTCTTTATATATCCTCAATTCTATCATATGAGTATTTTATTTTTCAATGAATTAAAAGCAATTTATAATATTTTATCACGAATCATCAATAATTCTTTTATGACATATCCATGTCAATTATCATTGAGTTTTCATTATAATAAGATTTAACTGAAATGATTGAAGTAGAGAAATTAGAGAACAATCATGAGCTTTAGATCACTATCGTATTATTCTTTATATGTAACTTAATATTTTCAATATAACCTGAAAAAAAAATGTTAACTATTTCGTAATATTTAAATCTTTGATCATAAAAGAATTTGTTACTTAATATATAAATCTCTTATTTGTTAACATGTAATCATTTATTTCGTGTTTTTCTAAGATATAAAAGGATTTTATTGTTGATCTCATTATTTAAGTAGCAAACCATTCATTGAATATTACTGAAAGTACACGTAGTCAATGATTACATTTTACATTCTAATTTTCGATGCACGTGCCTATTCTTTAAACATATTTATCATCAAATTTTCTTTTGCCTTGAATCATATGTCTAGACACAAGGATCGAAAGAAATAAACAAATAAGAAAACAAAATTGAAGTTTTAATATCCTATTCATATTTTTCATAGATACATATTAAGAAATAATACTCGATTTTCAATCAATTAGTTACAATTAATTTGAATTAAAATAATTTGATAACTAAATTTGAAGAAAAAAGACAGAAGAGTCGTTTACTTATTAGATTCTTTTTTTTTGTTTTATTTCTGCAAAGTAATTAATTCTCTTTGGTACAATTCATATTATTATTTACTCAAGTGTTAATAGTGAGAACAAGAACATCAATGATAAAAAACAAAATCATATATAAATGAGTGAAACAGAACGAAAGAATGACGACTATATAGTAGTATAGATCTAGTTCCCTTTCTCTTCTTCATGTGTAGGATTAATCTATACATTGATGGTGATCTTTTTTGTCTATGACATGTTCTTTTTACTTGTCTCATTGCTTTGTTAAACATGCCGCTGTCGACGCCGTCATTGTCGCGTCATTTCTCTGTCAAAGTTTGTTTCAAGAAAACATATGCAAGTATTAAATATATTTAACTAAAGACAAAAGTCAATTCATTAATTTTGACCTAATTACAAGTCGACGACCTAGAAACAATATTAAATAGAAATCTTCGAACACTTGTCATTACATTTCGTCTATCTTAACAGACAATTCATACGCAATAAATTATCATTCTTCACATTAACAAGTAAAAAAAAACTACAAAAAAAATTCTTTTCATCTATTATGTTTTACATATCAATATGATGATTAGACAAATTATTTGAATTAATACTTCATAATATTTTATGACACACAGTATTCAATAGAAAAAAAAATGACGAATTTCTATATAATATTTCTTTTTGTATTTATCTTTTTTATTCAACAATCAATAACACAAAGTCCACCTGTTGTACCGTTGACAAGTAAATTAAAGAAATTATATTTTTATGAATACTATTTTTTTTTTATTAATAGATGCTTTAACAGCTATTTATTGTCATAATTCTCATGAAGCCGGTATAATGACAATACATTGTCGACCAAATGAAAAAATTCGTATGTTAGATGCATTTGATGTTGTTGTCAAAAATAAATCACGTTTACCATTACAATGTTTAAAACATAAACATTTTTCAATGGTTTATGGTGATAATTCTAATTATGATGATTGTAAAGTTCATACAAGTTTTACATCAGCTTGTTCAGGGCGTGAAAATTGTACATTACATATGCAACCTATACGTTTGAATAGTGCTAATAAGAATTGTCATAATGAATTAGTTGATTATACAATGGCTTTTTTTGAATGTATATCAGGTACGAAATTTGTTTTAATATGTTTGCTTAAAACAAATGACACTTAAGAAAAAGAAACTTGCTTTCTATAGTAGAATGTAATCAAAAATACGTTGTTCTTATATTTTTTAGTCCCTATATACTATATTTAAGATGATTTTTTTTTATATAGACGCATTTATTCATGATGTATGTTCATCACAAATAATAACTTCTTCTTGGGGTACATTAAAAACACCGAATTTTCCAAATCCATATACATCAAATGATGATTGTTGGTGTAAATTATCAACACAATTACAATATCGTCTTTTACTTTCTGTTATTATTTTTCAATTGATTCCTTATGATCGTTCGTATTTGATTTCATATAAAAAT